TAAAGAATTTATCAGAGTAGATATTCTTACAATATTGACTTTATAGTTATAAAAAGTTTCTTAATATCTGTGAATACTATGACTTTGTGTATAATAAAACTCATAACAATTTTCTCTAAGAACAGAAAAATCAGTGTCAGAAAGAGAAGATGAAAAAAGAAAGACTTATAATTTCAATACTGTTAAAAAGAGAGATGATTCTCTGATATAAATAAATAATTGTCTCACTATGAATATTTAAAATGAACATAATAATTGATATCTGCAACTGAGCTTTAGATAGTTATATCATACATAGTCTTTATATAATAAATTGTTCTAGAGATTGATAAGAAGAGCAAAAGTATATATACTAAGAAATGTGATTCATTAAGTCTATACAATATCTTCTTGAAACAGAGAGAGCTGATAATGAAAGTAGAGATGATAGAAACAGAGAAAGCAGAAGTAGTAGAAGTAAGAATCACAGGAACAGAGATAGTAGAAGTGAGAGAATCAGACACAGAGACAGATATAGAAGATTGAAAGAGAGCAGCAGAGAAAGAAACAGAGAGAATAGAAGAGAATATAGAAGACTTAGTCACATATGATACAGATAATTTCTTTATTATTATATCTCTCAAGTTCTTAATTAATAATTTAACATTGAAATTACAATCATCAGTGAACACAGATCTGTCAACATGTGAAGATTCTATATGAATTAAAACAAATATATCAGCATCTGCAGTTATATAAAATAATCAAGAAACATAATCAGATGCCTGCTGAAGAAAAGAGAGTTGAGAGTGTATGAGAAGATGAAGAAGATATGTCATTCATAGTAGTATATTCTGATAATTGTTAGAAGATAAACAAGTTCTAGTCATATTTCACAACATATTATACTTACTGCTAATAAACTGCTCAGTATAAGCACTATGATAATGCTTATTATGAGAATGAGAGATCATCATCAGAAACATGTATAATATGATAGATAAACAGATAGAAGATGTTAAACAGAAGAAGAAGCAGAAATCTTGAAGAAGAGAATAATATTCAATAATGATAATAATGAAGAAGATGATTGAAGAATGAGAAAAGTTAGTGAATAAGAGATATAATATAGTAAAAGTTTCTTTATAAGAGTGTACACAGAATGCTAGCTGAATCAGAGATAGATTATATAATTGTGAACACTAGTGATACACTAATCTGTATAAAGCTAGAGTGTATATTCTGATCATGTGAGTGTGACTGAATCTGATAAGAGAGAATGTGATTCAGAAGAATATATAATCACTGAATAATAACACAGCTACTTCTGAACTTGCTTACAAATGTAAAGAAGCTATAGCAGCCACCAATTAATTTAGTGTACAGTATATAAGAAGTCAGTGTATGTCTGTAATTGTACACTGACTCAAGCAACCTTTGAATCACAATAGTCAGAGAAAGATCTATAAATTATAAAGAATCTTATAAAATAAGAAACTGTGCTACAGTGTATAGAAAATCACATTATACAGAAAATATTTTCAATATCTTTATTCTTCATCTTTAAATAATCATTATTAGTTATAATCATGTCTAAATCTTCTAATTACACTGAGAAGCAGTTACAAAGAGCTGTTAATATATATAAAAGTAATTTAAAAGTAAAAATCATATCTCTGTTATAAGAATTCAAAGTCTTATATATTATCTTATATGAGAGAATTAACAGAAAGAAATCAAGAACTATAAGAATTTCACTGAATTGAGTATTGAATGACAATCAGAAAGAGATAATTAAGATATAAATTTATCAGTTAAATATTAATTTTTATCTATTTATTATCAAGTATATCAAAGCTGCTGTGAATCATATATTAAGACAGTATTATATAGATTCAGAGACTGCATCTCTCACAGTAAGTAAGATATAAGTATATTAATTTATCAAATATCTATCAGATTATGAATAAATTAAGTAAAAGTTTATAAATTTAAAACAAGTATTTTATAAGAATATAAGCTTCATTATTAACTGATTTAATTAATATAAAGCTGTCTTTAATTAATATTATTTTTTTCACTGTGATATCTACAACTTTGATAAGATTGAATTTTAAGAAGAAGAAGAATATAAATAGTGAGTTATAACTATCTTTAGAGATATAAATTTCATTATATAATTATTATACTTCTGTAAATTAATAATAATAATAAAGTGTATTAGTATAGATAATATAGTATTAAATTCATTAATTATAATGAAATTGAAGATTTATCTAGAGAATTAATATATATACTTTAACTTATCTGATAACTATGCTATCACTACATCTAAGTCTGACTTTACAAATGATAAGATTAAATTTAAATAAATCAAACAGTTTAATAAGATGGTAAAAAAGCATTAAATAAGCAGTCATTGACTGCTATTAATAAATAATCATGATTCTCATCTTATAAAAGAATTCATTTAATACTGTAATCTTTATAAGATTATTCTGTTCAGATTCTTATCTTATATAAGTTACATTCTATAATCTCTTAATAATATATCTTTTCAGCAGTATAAGTATTATCATATAAAGACAGCTAATAAGACTGCTTACTATAAATATAAGTAGTATAATAATAGATAATTTCTTACTAATCTGAAGAGTGTTTAACTGTAAGTATTTAAATCTAACACTGTGAGAGCTGACTTTATTAACTGTGAAATATATTCAGTTAATCATAATATAATTCTCAATTGATTGAGACCTCTTATCATTAATAATGCTCTGAATCTCAATATATATAATAATGATAATAATATATATAATCACTTTATCTTATCATCTGCAGATCAATTATCAACTATCTTCTTATAATTAATCTTCTCAGAGATAATTGTAAAACTATATTACTAAATTAATACAGCAGTCAAGATCTTAGAAGATATGAAGAATACTCTTATATCTGATTTAATAAGATAATTGAACAAGATCTTTAAGAGTAGTATAATTCAGATGAAATTGAATATACACTGTGAGAATGAACTTAGAGATCATTATTAAATAAATAAATATCAGATTATTAAATTCTCTCACAGACAGATATAAGTAGATGAAGTTCTCACTATTAAGAATGTTAATTATAAGATTACAATCTGTAGAGTAGATGAGATAAAAAAGATATTTAATAAGAATTTTTAATTAATTGAAATCAAATCTATAAAATCTACAGTCACTTAATTATAATAAGATAATTCTATAGAATCTTAATCTACAGTGAATTCTACATCTTCTAATAAGTATATAGATAATATTTATATTATAGATAGATATAATAATGATTATTAATTAATTTTTAAAGATTACTATATTTAAAATATTTTTCATACAGTGTGATTTTCTGTATGCTGTGACACACTCACTAGAGAGAGTGAGTAAGCATGATATAATTAAAGATTAAATATATAATAGTATTCAAGCTGAGTTATAAATAGTATTTATAAACTTCAGTCTATATAGTTATGTGTAGTGAAGAGCTGCTAATTCTATTAATTATATAAGAAATAGAAATAGAGATAAAGAATTCATAAGAAGTAGAATTTCTTATATATTCTTTTCTCTCTAAGACTTTATCTATGAAGTCTTTTACTAAGTGATTTCATAGAATCAGACTCAGTACTGCAGTAATACTTACTAAAAATTCTTTATATTTATAAAAAATCTCAGTGAGAAAAAATCTCTTATTATTATACAGAGAAAAGAGTTTATTACTCACTCACTAGAGAGAGTGAGTAAGCATGACATGGTTACATTTTATCTTTCTACTGTGAATACTTCTAGTAGTTAACAGTACATATCATGCCAAGCTGCAAAAACCCGAATAATCGCCTGTGAGCACTTATTCTTACAGTTCAACTCTAATCACATTCACCTAGATGCCTCTCCCCACTCAAGTATATAACTCTTATTGAATATATATGAACTCCTGTTAATTTCCTGCACTGTCACAATGTTTTCAGGAGACATGGAACCAGCTTCACTCTTTGATTGATATTCACAGCTCTCTCAATGATGAATTTTGCCAGTGACACATGAAAAAATGTGCTTCCTAGCATGAACATATCCCAGCTCCTGTCAGGCAGCATGCATTGGCAATAGCCATATATTTGGCCATACGATACCCCAGTTACCCCGCAGGAACCCCGGATTACAGGATATCCGGGGTGGAAATTCTCTGCAAGCATTCCGATTATTCTAGTTAACAGAATGCCTCATCCGGAGCTAAGTCCGCTCTCTTGCGGGATGCCGACATAAATACTACGAGTCCGGGAATTGTCGATCTTAGCGTCGTCCACATTTGAAATTTAGGATGCCTAAAGTTGTTGAGACGAAACAAAGGAGGAATCGTCATGTTCGAGATATAAAAGTGGTCAAATTCCTGGATGACTGTTTGAGTATACAAAGGAAACGCACTATTATCTGTCATCATGAAATTCTCCACCAGTGGTTTAGGGGCCATTCTCGCTCTGTCAGAAGCAGTTACTGCTGCAACTCCGGCAGAATGGCGTTCGCAATCGATATACTTCCTTCTCACGGACCGGTTTGCAAGAACTGATAGCTCTACAACTGCTCCATGCAACACCGAAGATCGAGTAAGCTACCAATTTTCTTACTTCCAAGGGCACAGTCCATTCTTCCTCCCAAATAACGGGTTGTCCAAGCTGACATTAACGTAGAGATACTGCGGTGGGACCTGGCATGGAATTATCAATAAGGTACACCCAGGAGCAGCTGTTGTTTCTGATAGCCACCTAGTCTGATACGTTTGAAAGCTTGATTACATCCAGAACATGGGGTTTTCTGCTATCTGGATTACCCCTGTGACAAAGCAGTTTCCCGAGAAATCTGGATATGGGGAAGCCTTCCACGGATATTGGCAACAAGATATGTAAGTCGCAATGTCTACATTTCCCTGGGAAGTGGCTTGTATTTGAAACATGGTTGTATGTGCTGCTTACATTGCTCTTTTCCTTTAGCTACAATGTGGAACCTCATTATGGATCTGCAGACGATCTCAGGGCATTAAGTGCGGCATTACATGATCGCGGCATGTATCTCATGGTCGACGTAGTTCCAAACCATATGGTACGCAAGAAAGCGCAACTCGAGCAATTGTCTACCCTGGTCTCACAGCTTCTTTAGGGTTATGCTGGTCCAAGTAGTAGTATGGACTATAGTCGATTCGTTCCGTTCAATAGCAAAGGCTATTTCCATGCTTATTGCCCTATCACTAACTACGACGATCAAGCTAATGTCGAAAACTGTTGGCTTGGGGATAATACAGTGTCGCTTCCGGATCTTGATACTGGGAATCCAGAGGTGCAAAACATCTTCAACAACTGGATATCCGCTCTTGTTTCCAATTATTCTAGTGAGTGACAGCGCTATTTAAATCATTTCCGCAGTTCAACACCCTACTCTGGGAACTAACAATTGTCGCAGTTGACGGCCTTCGAATTGATACAGTCAAGCATGTACCGAAGCCGTTCTGGCGGAAGTTCAATGATGCAGCAGGTGTATATTCCATGGGAGAAGTATATAGTGGTGACTCAGGGTACACCTGCCACTATCAGAATTATCTGGATGGGTTGGTGAACTTTCCAATGTACGATCACGGATATTTCTACTACCAAAGAAATATGGCGGGTTGGCTAAAATATTCGCA